ACCCAAACTCCATCATGCTCCTCATAGCATTCAAATATTCAGAGTTCAAATATAAATAATAGCCAGCATGAATAAAATTGCATAAATAGCACACAGATGTGCCACTTGATTCTGTGGTGAGGAACAGAGGCGTGTAGACTCTCACTGTCTGCTCGGTTGCTCGCCGGAGTTGACACAGGACTCTCCTTTGACTTCCCAGCGCCCGCGCAAGCCTCTAGCGCCCGGTGACCAGCGGCGTTCAGAGCCCGAGCTGCTCAGTGCCGGGCTGCAGCTCTGCTTCCCTTGACTACTTCAGGAAGAGCGCTGGGGAGAGGACTGCAACTGGGCTTACGTTGTACCGCAGGGTGTACGGGGATTCTTTTCGCTCCAGGCACTGTGTGTAAGGTTTCGCTGCTAACTGAAGTCTGGACAGAATCTGACGTATCAAACATGCTTACGGGTATTCAGGTGCTTTGCTGTGCTTTCCCCAGGCAGATCCCCATCAGTAGACTTCCTGTATGTTCTTTGACCTGCACGTTTCTTTAGGTCTGCCGATTTCCTCGGCTCAGAATGTCTCGGAGATCACAGCTGTTGCTGCAGAAGGCTGCAGTTTTCTGTGTGAGCCTGTCTGTGCCCCGGTAGGGCAGTCGTCTGCCTGTATCCCGAGGGCGTTATGCAGAGTCCCAAATCTGAAGTTGTGTGGAGCTGTATCCCTGGGCTGATAACGCTTCTCTCAAAGCTGGTGCTAATGCACGCCCGCAGAGCGAAGCGGGTGCCTCTGCGCTGCCGTGGGTGGGTTCCAGGAGACTCTGCTTGGGAGCAGGTGACTCTGCACCGTCGGAGGAGTTGCGCTGGGTGACGCTGGCATCCGCACGGTGCTTCGCGGAACACTCGCTTGTGCGAGCCTGTTGCGAGCAGGGGTTGGTTAGATGTGCTGCCTGCCTTCCACCGGGTCCGGAGGGGTTTTTTGGTGCGGCTTTGCCCACCTGCAGGCAGTAGAGGTGGCCTCTCGCTGGTCCCACACTGGCCCGGTGCCGGTACATCCAAGTGACGTGACCCATCTGCGCTCTGCACAAACCGTTGGGTTCGTACGCGGAACGGTCACTGCGTTTCACTCCTGGCTTCTCCGGGGGGTATCGGTGCTGGATGCTATCCTTAGCACCACATGCAGGAAGAATGTTTGTCTTGGTACATCAGGAGCCCACACAGGGTCAGGGTTGCTTGGTACCGAAGTGCTGGGCTTGCTTGTGCAGCAGCAGACGTTCCCTGACAGCGGCTTACGCCGACGGGCGCTGTGTAACAGCACTCTGGGATGCCCAAGGGAGCACAGAAGTTTTAAAAGGTTCTGTTCCTCAGTCTGCTGCCTGTTGTGCCCAACCTGGGGACTCCCTCCACTGTTCCCATGCTCCTCCGCCAGCCTGTCTGTGAGTACTGGAGCCTGTATGCCTGGTCAGCGCTGCCGGCTGTTCCTGCGGGCCGGATGCCACTTCCCTGGATGTTCAGTTGCGTTTTCCCTGTTAGCTGAAGGCAGGTTGCTACCAGTTACATTCTTTTCCTGAGAGCCTCAGTCACAGTTTCTGTGAATGTTGCCTGTCTTCACCTGGGGACTCCTCATGTGTCTAAGATCACCCCTGAGTTACAGTCTCTGCAGTGTACCTGCTACACTGCCGGAGTCGACAGGCTGCGGATGCCCCATCCCGGGAAGTGCCCAAGGCCAGGCTGGATGAGGCTGGGAGCAACCTGGGCTGGTGGAAGGTGTCCCTGCCCATGGCAGGGGGTGGCACTGGGGGGGCTTTGAGGTCCGTCCCACCCAAACCGCTCTGGGATTCTATTGTGTATGTTACTTTTGGGGATTATTCCCACTAATTCTGGCCCCTGCATTTTTGTACACGTTTTTCAGCGAGATAGTAAGACCCTCCCACCGTTTTCTCACCTTCACCTTCAGTGGCCAGTTGTGCCTGCAGAGGGAGGTGTCCTGGCACTGGCTTTGCGGAGTATTGTCCAGCACAGCTGCGCAGGCGATAACCTCTTGGCGCTGGCTCCTCGGGTGCTTTCTGCACCCCTCTCTTGTCCTGGGCGATGTGTCGCTTACTGTGACGCGCCAGCCTTCGGCAGGTAAGCACGCGCGCACGTCCACATGCAGCCCGAGCTCCGTCGGGGAGTTGGCTGGTTCCCTGCGCAGTGGGGAGGGTGACGGGGAGCCGAGCGAGCAGGAAACATGACACAGGGAGGATTGATCTCCCTGCGGGTATTTGTTAGGGCACAGACTGTGTGGAGGATTTAGTGCCCAAAGCTTGGGCCAAGAACTGTGCTGGGGAAAGCAGCAGCGGCTGCAGGGTGGCTGTTGGCTGCGGGGGAAGGAGCAAGCGCTCCATCTTCCATGTGTCCAGCCTCGTGCCCTGTCCGGTGGCAGTGTCTCAGAGAGGAGACGATGCACTGCCTTTCCTATGGCCCAGGCTCCAGTAGCCCCCAGGTGCGGGCAGTGCTTTCCAAAAGGCTGCAGGACCGTTGGGACAGGCGGTATCGCGAGGGACACGCTCCACGTGCCGTCATGTGTGAAATGGTGCTAGAGGAAAGCCCCAGAACTTAACAGGCTAGCGAGAGGCTTGCTCATCGTAATTTCCGTGGGACCAGCACATGCTGGCGAACCTGCCAGGACGAGGTGCTCTTCAGCGAGCTCCCAGAGCCAGCTGCTTATTGCCGCCTGCGTAACGTTTGACCCTTGGGGTGTATTTTCAGCACGTTGAAAGCAGCAGTTGTTGTGAGAAGTGCTGCAGAATGCCCTCATTTTTGGGTTTCATTCTGGTTTCCATAATGGAAAGAATCGCCTGCCCGTCTCGTGTTTCATAGTGGTTTTATTTCCAGCTACTATTTGGTCTAGGCTAGGTTAGATTAACTTAATGCGCATTGTACGTGTGCGTGCGTGTGCCCAGAGACTAGAGCTGACTTCACAAAAGCAGACCACATGTCCTGAGTTTGCTTACAGGACATCATCCTGTCCTGAGCTGCCGGTAGCTCCGTGACGGGCTGTAACAGTGGGTAGTATTGCTTGCAAGAAAGGTGATTTACCCCAAGATGTAGAGTTCATTGCACCCAGGTACTCTGTCCATCCCCACGAGAAGCGACCTGGGTGGTTACTGGGGGCCATAGCTCAGGTAGAAGTGTTCCTCAGCATTTTCCTGCTGCCTTGTTCTTTCCCTTCCACACGTACAATTTCCGCTGTGATGCAGCGTGGGCACAGGTCAGCCGGCGAAGGAGAAGGGAGGAGTTTATATAGCAGAGGCACCGAGTAACCATGGCCGTGAAGTTGTCAAGCAGTGCATGGCTACCACTTGCAATCCAGCCTGGCTTCAGGTACCGCGCGTGGTTTGTACCGAAGCGTGAAGGTGGGAAGGAGCAGGAACTGTTTGCTCCGCGGCTCTCAGGAGGAGTGAGTTTGCATTGCTGGGAACGGTACATTTTACGCCAAATGAAAAGGAGGTATGAGCGGGGGCTGTGCAGTTTCCCCTCTGTCTCTTTCCTCCTGGTTTTCCCAAGCCTGTTCCTGAAGGGGAGACTTTTCTAGGGAGGAGGAGTGGCCCCGTTCCCATGGCCGATGGACCTGCTCTGAAAGGTGCCACGTCGTGATTCGAGCTTTGTGGCTGCGGAGCTACACAAACGCTCGCAGTGTCCTTCCTAGCAGATGAAAACCACCCATCCAGCAGCGAATTACACTCTCATTTACAGTTTTGATGTCTGAGCAGCAAAGATTTTGTTGATATAAGTGACGTCAACAGTCTGAGCAACAGGAACTGTGCAGCAGCAAGACTGCAGCTGAGTTGAGGTGGGTGTTGTGGGTACACCCAGCTTTGCTCACAGACAGCCCCTCTCCTCACCTGCCTCTCTGGGTTGTTCCCCAGACAAACCTTCTGAATATCCTGCCAAGGGTGGGGAAGGAATGGGTCATTTCCAGGTCTGAGTACCTCACTGAGGTTGGTACTCAGATGTGCAAAGGACTATTCTGGTTTCCTTTGTAAGGCGTTAACTCTCCAGTGTGGCGATGCCTTTCCAGAGCCCAGGGAGTTGCATCCCTCTGTTGTGTCAAATTGGGTCTGGAATCAGACACCTTCAGCTCTAATTTATCCGACCGTTGGCAAATGAAACCATGAACTGTAGATTCAGCCATACCCGAGCTAGGTAACTCCTGAGAGGAGTTATGCCAGGCCTGGACTTGGCATCTCTTTGGGTTGATTTCACACAGGCTTGCTGTTAGGGGTCCATTAAGCTCAGTTCTTGCCTGACGCAGCAGTTTAAAGCAGCAGTGAATTCGGGCAGTGACAGAGTCACTAGGGTTGGAAAAGGCCTAGAAGACCATCCGGTCCCACCATCAACCCCATATGGCCGCACCCACGAGTCCTTGCGGTAAAGGTTTTAGCTGAGTTTGGTAACGAACGCGGAGGTATGAGGTGTTGGGAATCTGCAGTTACACTGATTTGCTGCTGACAGTGATTCCCATGGTGTGAAGTCGGGTAAGTAGCACACTGACCGCGTCCTGGAACACGGAATGGCTGAGGCCGTTTGGAAAAGGCGCGCTGGTGGGAACCAGACGCAGTGCTCATTTGGGCTGGGAATTACTCTTACAACGATCAGTGTAGATTTGTCAGCAAGGAAAGCGTTAAGATGGCAGCATTGTTGCTAGCTTACTGCTGGGTACAGGCACCCGTTTGCAGAGGAGTTTTCAGTTAAAAAACCTGCGTGTCATTTCCTGCATACCCGCGGGGAGATACCTGAACATCCCGGGACCAATATGAACACTGGCTGTGTTGTAACTATTCGCATTTTATACCCATAGGGAATGCTAAAATGGTGTGTCAAGCAATTACTGGTACCAGATCTTGCCAGGCGGAGTAGTTATCTCAGCCACTGGAGGTACAGTAATTCTAAGAACTGTGGCCTGGAAACGAGTAGCACGAGCCCTAGGCCTGCTCTTCCCGTGAAACACAATTCCACTTGACCAACCAAGGTTTATGTTCTTCCCGCAGTCATGAATCACCAGCACCAAATCGCAACCAGCCCAGCCATGGCGCAGCAGAGCCGCTCCCTCCAGGCCCTGCAGCCAGGGCTCTTGAACTTGCCCAGCGCTCTGACCGCGCAGCAGCAGCAGAAGTTGAGGCTCCAGAGAATCCAGATGGAGAGGGAGCGGATCAGAATGCGTCAGGAGGAGTTACTGCGACAGGTAACACCAAGGATACCCTTTCATTTTGTTCATGAGCCTTTAGTTCCATGCATCCAGGTTTTTACCAGGTGCAGTTGGAAGCTCTGTTACTTTATGTCAAGATTAACCCTTGTTTTGAGTAAGGGTAAAAAAGCTGATATAAACAGAACGTTTCATTCTGCCGAGGAGGAAGGAGCAGCAGAGACAGCGTGTGATGGGCTGACCCCAACCCCCATTCACCGTCCCCCTACACTGCTGGGGGGGAGGAGGGAGAGAAATGGGGAGCAAAGCTGAGCCCGGGAAGAAGGGAGGGGTGGGGGAAGAGGTTTTACGATCTGGTTTTGTCTCTCATCACCCTACTCTTTTGATTTGTAATGAATTATGTTGATTTTTCTTCCCCATATTGGGTCTGTTTTGCCCGTGACCGTAACTGGTGAGCGACCCCTCCCTGTCCTGGTCTCGAACCACCAGCCTTTCCCTGTATTTCCTCCTCCCACCGGGGGAAGAGTGAGCGAGCGGCTGCGTGGTGCTGAGTTGCCGATGGGCCTAAGCCATGACAACACACTCGAAGTTAAGCAAGTGCTCAGTGCTCTCGCTGAACAGAAGTGAAAGGGAGACATGTTTCCCCCAGAGGTCCTGTATTTTTTGGCCTGCTTGTGTCAAGGGCTAGTTTTGACTTCTGTGGTTTAAACCTGAGTCTGGAAACTGTGCAGACACAGACGTCTTGTGTCCGTGTTCGGTTTCATTATCCTTACATTACGGTACATCACCTGTGTGTGCAGAGCTGAGCTCAGGGTGGGGGCACACCTTCCCCTTCACTCTCAAGAGCTCAGAGCATGATAGAGATGGGTGTGGGAAGAGAGCGGGGTATCTGGTATGAGCTTAGTCACAGTTGGCACCGTGCTGGCAGCGCCTTTGGCTATTTTTACTCTCTTTGGCTCTGTTTGTCAGGGCAAGAGCACATTAAGCTTCAGAACACTTGTGCCATTACCCCAGGCTGGTTTCCCTGCTGGTTTCCCACCGGTGTTTTATGGTGACATTAATGCACGCATGCACTCCGCAGCTGAGCTGGGCCGTCAAGCCTCCAACCGTGCCCGGCACCGCCCGCACCATGGCGCCCGAGCTCGGCGCTGCTACGGCTGGGCAGTACCACTGTCGGTACCGCACTCGTCAGAGCTGCTGTGGCTCCCAGGGAGCGACGCACTTCCCACCTGAGGAAAGCAAGATGCAAACCCCATCCCTCTCAACAGAACTCCCTCCCAGTAACCTGAGCCCCCCGAGCCCTGGCAGCTGAGAAGGATGTGACAAATCCCTCTGGAGCCATCAGCGTTTCTCCTGCCCTCGCCCTGCCCTGCTTGTGCTGTCCTTGTGCAACCACCGACGGGAAACACGCTGAGCGAGTGTGCACCCTGCGGGTAGCGCCTGCAAGGAGATGCAGGCGGGTGGGGTGAGGGGGAGGCATTTTTGGTGGGTCCCAGACCTGCTTTCAGCCCAGCAGCAGCTGCTGGCTGCCCACAGCCATTCCTGGCACAGCTGCTGGGGGGGAGCCGCACACGCAGCGGGCAGGAATATGCGGTTCTGGAAGCATTCCACCGAGGGAATGTTTCCTTCTTTGCCCTCCTCTTTGTCTACTGGTGAAGCCCCCGGAGCTGCAGGCTGAGTGCACGCAAGGGCAGCCCTCTGGGGGCCCCGACGACAGCTTCCGGTTCAGCGTTCCCATCCTCAGTCTCTCATTCTGCCGAGAGTTACTTTCCGTTCTTACGGGGTGGGTTTTGTCAGCTTTCCCAAGGAAAAGGGAGGATCTGCTCGCTGCGCAAGAGCTTCTGGGAGAGGGAAGTAGTTAGCGGTGGCAGCAGCAGGTTGGACAGGGACCCATCCCGGGGGTTTTGAACATCCAGAGCAGGTGACTCCGCAAGCGCTCTGGGCAGCCCGTTCCCATGCTTGGCACCCTCAGAGCAAGGAGGTTCTTCCTCACACTAAGGACTCTATCCTTGGATCGGTGGAGGCTTTTCAGCTCACAAATTGCCTTGCTTTGCCAGGCCTGTGTAAGTCACATAGTAGATAAACGTTCCTGGAATGGGCTGCTGGCCCTGTGCAGGAGCGGTAAGGCCAGTGCCCCAGGACGCACGGACGCTTGGCAGCGCTCCTGTTCTCCTGTTTGTGGAAGGCAGTTCTGTGAAAAACCTCCGAGCTTAACAAAAATCCGCTTCCAGTGGCTGACTGCTCACCTTACCGGCCGTAGGGCAGGCAGCCTGCTGCACAGCAGCACTGTGATCTCTGAGCGCTTGGTCTGCGTAGTCTATTCCGAGCTCCTTCCGCAAAGGAAATCGCCAGGGAATGGAGAGTAAGAGGCACAGGTTGCCAGTGTTTCAGGTCTGTCGCCCCGCAGTATAACACAGAAGAACCGTTGGGTCTTGCTGGGGGCAGGGACCGCCTGTGCCCCTTCTGTACAGAGCGGGCACGGTTGCAGCAAGGCCAGCAGGCCTGTGGCTGCCGCTGAAGGAGAACGGGTTTCGGCTTGGCCTGGGTAAGCTCGCCCTTGGCGCCTGCTCGGGTGTCTGGCCCACAGCAAAACCTGCGTGGGTGTCGCTGGGCTCCTGGTGGCTGTCCCGAGGGCGGTCGTAGCAGCTCACTGACGTGGCACCGGCACTGCGTCGGCAGAGAGTTCTTCTGGTGGAACGTGGAACAAGGAGAGGTTCGACCTGACTTGCCAGGCCCGCTCAGTGCAGCGAGACCACGTTTGCAGCGGAGGGTTTGCGCATCGCCCCTGGGCTCTTGGCACTCACAAGACACGCTGGCACTGGCGGTCGAGTGGCTCGCTCCGCGTTAGATAAACCTCCTCTTGGAACGTGGGTTGGTCTGGGAGGAGCGTCCTTGCAGCACAGCCCCTGTGTCCGTATCGACCTACGTTACGTAGCGGTGCAGTTCTGGCTGGTTGGTGTGCGGTGGAGCAAGCAGGCAGCAGTAGATGTAGGAAGTGCTCTGCTCTTTCCAGTGATGTTTATTTGGTCATTTTTCGAGTCAGCGTGTAAGGGAGTGAAAACTGTAAGGAAATTATTGCCTATTTCTGTGCATTTCAGTGTGAGAGGAGGAACATTTGTTTCATGGGGGGTTAAAGATGTGAACTTCCCTGGTGAACTCCCCGTGCTTTTGGTAATGTCCTTTGATTTTATGTGCAGCTGCGTTTTGTGGTTAGTTTGAGGGTGAGAAATCTCAGCGAGTGCCTGTGTCTTGCTGGTTTGGGAAGCTGCCAGAGGAATCACGGACTTAAGGGAGGGGAGGTGTGTTGTGCTTCTGTAAGGAGCTCAGAGGAGGAAGGATGACACGAAGAATGAGAAAAGCCTCATGTTTCCTGTGATCATTTAGTTAAATGTGTTCCATAAAAAAGGGGTTTATCTCTCTCTGTGTTTAAAAACAATTCCATGGAACTGTACAGACTTCTCAGTGTTGTTTGGAAACCTTCCCTTGCCTCATTCGTACACATCTCTTGTCTTAAATCCAGCACTGCTGCATGGCTGTGGAAAGCCATGGGCTGTTCCAAGCCTTTCTGAGCCGTAGAATTCACCAGTCTCAAAAGCAAGCTGCCTTTGGTAGCAGAGTCAGAACAATTATGTCAAATTAATTACTTGGAACTTCAGGCTGTCAGTGCGTCGCTACCTGTTTTGGAAACACGAGGCACTGTACACCGTCCCTGCTAGGCATCTGACATTTTTAATGACAGAGTTTCAAAACTCTTGCTGCGAATCCACCTACTAATTGTCAACAAACACACCCTGAACTAATGGCCTTTCTTCTCCTCAGGCACGTGATTCTCCGCGACTGCCTTCGGCACTGCTCTCTGGCAGAACAGTTGCTTGTTCGCCCTCGTCACCTCTGCTTCATCGGTACTACCCACTTCTCAGCTTTAGCATTTTTCCGGGCAGCGTGTTTTGGTTCAGTTTCTCTCTTCCACGAGAAGGGAGCTTGGCAAGCTCTCCCCGCACCCCGCCGCGTGCCCACGCACACTCCCCAACAAGCTGAGACACTGGTTGGTACCGTATGGTCGTTGGAAGGTGCCGGATACAGAAAAGGTTATCCACCAGCTCCTACGGGCGAGAGTTGTCCAGGCTTAGCTTGGCACCGTGCAGTTGTACTGAGGCGTGTCAGTCCGAACTGAACACAAACAGCGTGGCAGCTGGCAAGCAATTACCAAGAAGATTGTCCCAGAGGGAAAAGCCAGGTTTTGTACAGAAAGCTGCTGTGTGCACATGGCCAGTCTGGGGTTCGTCGAGCCACAGGACGGTTGAGGTTGGAACCAGAGATTGTCTGGCCCAACGGCCCGGCCCAGTGCAAGTTCGGCTACAGCAGGTTGCTCAGGGCTGCAGCCGGGCGGGTTTGGAGCATCTCCAAGTCTCCATGCAGATGCCACAGCCTCCTTGGGAAACCCTTTCCAATGCTCCATTGCCCCTGCAGTAGAAAGAGGGATATTGGGGCAGTATTTCCAGTGCAGTAACACGTGCAGAGATGCAAAGAGAAAGCATTTCCATCAAACCAGGATTAGTCACAGTACTCCGGAAGAGGCAGATAGTGGATCCTGAACAGGATGCTAAGCTATCAGCAATAGCATTCAATGTCTAGAAATAATAGCAACCAGAATGATAGCCCACACGTGTTTTCCCTGTTGGCAAACCAGGGGAAAGGCACTTTTCTTCCCTTTTTTTCCTCTTCTGACCTTATCGTCGTTAGCGTGCAGAGATGCCCGGTGAGACTGGACAATGCACTGCCCAAGTATCAAAACCATGAGCTTCATTGCTGCACTGGACTTTAAAAACCCCCTAGCTAAGTATATCCTGCCTCATTTTCTCTGCCTGCCTTTTTTTCTCTCTTCCTTTCTCCTTCTGTATTTCTTCCCTTCTGGCTGACTTTTCTCTCTGTCCCTCTTGTTGTCTCTCCAGTATTAGCCTTGTCTGTGCTGCAGTTGCTGTTCTTAAATATAAAACAATACTTCGGGTATCTCCGTGCAGGCACAGTCTGCCCATTTCGTGAGGTTTGGGCATTTTCACAGACTTCAGCTGATCTAATGGTAAGGAGAAGCATCACTGTTACAACTGACACGTGGCAGATGCAGTGACAGGCAGCAGCTGTCACACGCAAGCGATTAAGAATCACTTGCTAAATCATTGCACCATCCAGTGTAAACCATTATTTATCAGTGGATGTGTTGATAATTTGATCAGAAAGGAAACACTGCGTTAGTGGGCACCAGTCTATGTTAATTCCCAGTGAAGATCTGTTATATTATTCATTAAGAGACCAGAACTGTCCTCCTCAGTGAAGAAAACAATTGAAATCATAGAAAAACAATATTCTAGCCTCAAAAACATGTTAATCTTTTCTGCGCTTAGGAGAATGACTGACTGAGCCAGTGGAGAGAAGGTTTCTGCTGGGATTCCAACGAAATATTTCCTCCGAAAAACCCTAGTGAGGTTGTGTAAACTGGGCAGAAAGCAGTTGGAAGGTCTGAGGGTGTGTTTGAACACTGCGTGGAGCCGGCCAACCTTCGCACAGACCTTGCACCACTAGATGTCAGGGTTGTTTCACAGGGGTGAGGCTGGCAGCGTGTTGAAAACAAGTTCCCTTTGGCTCCCACTGCTCCACTGCCACCCTAAAGACAGTGTCCACCTCACTGGGCGAGGTGTACAGCAGGCTCTGTCATCCCGTAGCCACTCGCATCGTTTCTGCGCCTGGCTTCCATCTCTTTTGCACCACTTTTAACAGAGCGGTTTCCCTTTGGGTAAGCTGTTTGCAGCAGAGCCGTGGGCGATTACATTCGAGCCCGTAGGTTCTATTCTTGCTGCTCCAGCTCGCAGCGAACGTGGGCTCCGTGAACAGCAAGCGGGGGCTGTAATGTGAGGGTTAATGGCTCTCGCAGGCACGCGAGGACCTGCAGCTGGAGTAGCTGCCCTGTGCCGCACAGGCGGGCACCCAGAAGCCGGCGGTCGTGTGTGGGCCCGTCGGTGGTCCACGACGAGGGGACGCACGAGGTGTCCGAAGTGACAGTGTGATGCTGTGGGGATTATCTCTGCGGCCAGCAAGGCTGCAGGGGTGCAGCCCTTCTGCGGGCGGTTGTGCTTGCCCAGGCCTGCCCCTCGCTGGATGGTCACCCACGTGAAGCCATTGGGGTGAGCGCTCGTGGCCTGCCTCGCGCAGGAGCGGGCCGGTTCCAACCGGCAGGTGCTCTGGGGGTCATGGTGCTGATGGGCTCCGTGTGCCCAGCACCTCTGCCGGTGGCGGGGCTGCGGGACCGGCCCCCGCTGTGGTGGGAGCTGTGTGGTGGGGCTGCGGTGGTGCCAAAGGACGCTGTCTGCCGCATTGCGATGTTCGCGCTGACGTGAACCGTCATCGGTTACCTCGCTTAGAATGACGCTCCTGAGCAAGGGGATGCGTATGTACCACGTGTGCAGTTGTCGCGAGGCTGCGGTACCCCCGAGGGGCTGGAATAACCCCGCTGTTCCTGGTTTGCCGTTTCAGGAAGCTGCTCTGTGCAGACAACTGCCCATGGACTCGGAGAGCATGGCCCCGGTTCCGACTGCGTCTGCCATGACACAAGACATGAGGCCTGTTACAAATAACGGATCCGATCCCTTCTTGAACAGGCAAGTTCGTCTCCTCTTCCTTAGGCAGTTGTTCTCCCGCCTCCTCCACACTCCCAGAGCTGAATTTCTGAATTTGAGTGGCCTCTCTGGAGCTGCTCTGTATTTAGGCTGCTGTGACCTGCCCGCCTCGGTGGGCAGCAGCTGAGTGATGCGTAGTGGCTCAGTACGTAACCAGTCACTGACCCACGGAGCTGTCTCTGTCAGACACCACTGTCAGGGACTGCGGCTACAACCTGTTTGCTGAGACTTTTTGGTGTTTTCAACTCGTAGCGGGCCGTACCACTCCCGGGAGCAGAGTACGGACAGTGGCTTGGGACTGGGATGCTACAGTATACCGACGACACCTGAAGACTTCCTCGGCAACGTAGATGAGATGGATACAGGTAGAGTGCTCTGACTTACCGTGAAGTGTAACGATACGAATAACGTTGTGTTGTAATCTGTAGTGTTTGATAATGGCACAACTCAACAGTCACGTCGCGCTTTCCTGTGCGAGAGAACAGACTGAGACTGGAGGGGGAGACACCTAAAGGCACTTATGCCTCGACACTCTACCTGAGATCCAGTTTCTACCCTTTCACCTTAGACTGATATTAAATAAAATAAACCAAAGTTGGAAAACATGAGCCGTAATTGAGGCTTCACGCCACAGTCCAAGGTAGGAGGAGTAAAAATCCGCTCTGGGGTTACATTCTCGATCCCCGTGTTCTCACTCTGGGAAGTTGGTCTCCTCAGCAGGGCTCTCACACCGGCAGAGTTGGATTTAGTATGTAGCTAGCAGCATGTGTCCAGCTAGTTTAGGTTTTGGGGTGTATTTACTCTTGCATCGGTCCTTGTGGTGTTTAAAATACTGAAATAAATTACTTGGAAACCAACAAGTTTTTTTCCAGACAGTGACATTTTCAGCCCTTTCTCGCGCTCTTGCGAAGTCACCGGAAGCTGTAGATGACGCGAAGGGTGAAAGGTTTCTCTGCTGAAGATTTGCATGTTTGTTTCACAGTGGTTTAGGAAAGAAGTCCTGTGATGCTGCAGAGCTGAACTGCTGGAACCCACTCGTTCAGTTACGCCCCCGCACAGCACCCAGCCGTTACAGAATGTGTAGAGGACAGGAGTGCTCACAAGGGCTTATGGGAAGGGGGAGGTGTCTAGTTCTCATGCCAGTTGTGGTGTTTTAGATCACCCACAAGCAGAGATTGGGATTTCAAAAGTTCTTCTTTGCTTTTCTAGGAGAATCACTGGCACCCACTGCAATGAACATAAATCCACAGCAAACACGCTTCCCTGATTTCCTCGACTGTCTTCCAGGAACAAACGTTGATCTCGGGACTCTGGAGTCAGAAGACTTGATCCCTATTCTCAACGACGTGGAGTCCGTACTCAACAAGAACGAGCCCTTCCTTACCTGGCTGTAATCACTCGGTGCTGATTCGGCCGACGATGCAATTCAGGGTTTCTTTTTCCTCTTGAGATAAAGGTAGAATATCTGAAAGTGCTCAAGAGACACAGCTTACCGCCTTAGTGACTTTTGTGGCATCATTGTTCTGGTCAGTTTAATCTCTGCCTGGATTTGATTGACACTAACTTAACTATAAAATAGGTATATAGACATAAAAACACATATATGCACATATACTTTCTCTTTAAAAAGCCCACTACTTCACACTTCTGTAATCGGCTTTCCCTGCTCCGGCCAGGCGGAAATGTTGGCTGTAAGGAGGGAGGGTGGGTGCTGCCTGGGCAGGTCTCCGGTCTCCTACGCCGCCGTTACCATCGCAGACCCTTCGCGGGTCGCGTGTTCGGAACGCACAGCGTCAGACCCGGAGAGCGGCTTATTGCTGGGCTTGTGCCAAGAGTAGCAGCAGCTTTTCTTACGCCGTCGTTTCGTTCTTAGTAAAAGTGCTGTATGGAGTAGAGATGAAACCTGGTCTGTAGCAGCCCTAACAGCTTGCCTTACATGTTTGTAAAGGCACAAACAGTACTGTCGCAGGCTCTTTTGTCAGTATATTGCTGTATAGTTTTTGGAAAATGAGTACTTCCGACCCAAAAGTGCCAGAATTGTTGAGCAACATTTTTACACTGCAGTATTGGTGCAAACCAAACCAGGCTGGTACTGACTGCTGCCTTTTTAAACAAAGCAATGTAGTATAAGCAAGCATTTTTTTAAAAAGTCCTAGATTTTTATGTTTCTTACATTAAGCACTACAGTTTTGTAACACACGAACAAACAGTTTTTTATATACAAATACCTTAAGTGCAAAAACGTGCTTTTAAAATCAGGTCTGGGGAACGTGGCACACCTGGTTAACATCCTTTGTCGTGGGGCACCCCCTTGCTCACACTGCTGGGAGTAAGGTGCTTCACCGGCAGCGTCCAAGCGCGTGTGTTGTGCTGGTGAAAGGGGACGGCTTGGTCAGGGCGGCGCTAAGGCAGCGTCACAGCTCCTCCGTGAAGTCGCGTAGTGCGCCGGGCGCTCGCTCCCCGCGGTCGCTGCGCAGGACACGGGCGTGTGCCCCGGCGTTCGACCTGCTGCCTGTGCTGCAAGCGCTCCTCGATCCCAGGCTTGGGACTGAGAAGGCATCAGCACCATGAACCTGGCAGTTAGTTCCCCGAAATGCAAATCAAGTCCTAAAATTCTGAAATATTTTGAAATGATGTTATTTATAACCTGTGAATTTAAGCTTTTTATAATGAAATTACACCTTTTTATGAAAGGCATTCAAACTTTTCCCTAGGCTTAATCCAGGCTGCATGGGGAGGGGAAGAGATGGAGCGTTGAGTGGAAACGTCTGTTTGCCAGGCCTAGTGACACCTCACAGGATCTTACCCCTGCAGCACAACACCCGTCCCTCAAGGCTTGTCCGTCTCTTGGGTGAAGGCAGGTGAGAAGGCCAGAGGGGAAGCGGTGGGGATGTGGAGCAGGTCTGGAAGATGAAGGGTCACCTAGCAAGCACAGGCGCGTGGCGGCAGGGAGGCGGCAGTCGGGGACGTGCAGGGAAGGACGCGCCAGCGTGCCGTGAGCAGCCTGCCCCGTCAGGCCTGAGCTGCTGGGTGTACATGCCTGCAGGAGGTGGCAGCTAAGGAGTAGACACCCCAGATTTTGAAAAGAGGTGGAAGGCAAAGACCTACAGTCGTGACGTCGTATTTCATAGGGAAAAGCAGCTCTGTTTGTGTCTGGTTTTTAATGGAAAATGAGGCGTGGCAGCGGAGGTGGGTCTGCGCAGGATGGAATTGCTGAGTGGGCGTTGTGTTTCGCCCTCTTGGAGGGGTAATTTGTTGGGTTTTTAGTCATTGTTGCTAACCCCAGCTGGTAAGACAGCCGAAACCCCTTTCCAGCGAACGGGACCGGGCAGGGCTGAGCAGTGCTGCTGCGATTCTGATCAGCTTCTCTCGGAGTTCTTCAGGTTGTCGGCCTGAACGAAAGAGAGAGGGTCCCGAGGCTTTGCTCGCTAGCGACGCGCTGACTGGGGTGAAAGAACCGGAGGTTTTGGCATCTGGCTGTGATGCCGGCTCGTCGGCACGGCAGGATTGGCCTGACTACACTGTTGGGGCGGGACGTGTCACCCTGGCTGCAGGCCGGAGCTCCAGCGCGGGTCAGCGGGTGCTGCTCACCCGAGGTTGTTAGAAAATGCGGTGTGTTGGGTTGCTGCGGGGCGTGTGCTGCCGCGAGTGGAAGTTCTGGCACAGTGAGAGTTGGGGCAGGCACCGGGAGCTCGGCCGGCGTGACGTGCCGAGCTGTGGGACTCTGCGTGACTCCCCCCGTGC